TATGGTTTTTCTCCTGTGTGAGTTCTCTGGTGTCTCACAAGCTTAGAACTCTGCTTGAAACCTCTTCCACAATCACTACATTTATATGGTTTCTCTCCTGTGTGTGTTCTGTGGTGTTCCACCAGGTTGGCATGCCAACGGAAACTTTTCCCACAATCCAGGCACTCATACGGCTTTTCTCCTGTGTGAGTCCTGTGGTGTTTCACCAGGTAATAATTCTGACTGAAACTTTTCCCACAGTATAGACACTCATATGGTTTTTCTCCTGTGTGAGTCCTCTGGTGTTTCGCAAGGCAGGAACTCTGACTGAACTGTTTCCCACAATCCAGACACTGATATGGTTTTTCTCCTGTGTGAGTTCTATGGTGTTCCACCAGGTTGGAATTCTGACTGAAACTTTTCCCACAAACAGGACATTTATATGATTTCTTTCCTGAGTGGGTCATCTGGTGTTCTACCAGGTGAGAATTTTGACTGAAACTTTTCCCACAAACAGGACATTCAAAGGCAGGGCTTTTCTCCAGTATGTGTTCTTCCATGAATCATGAAGAAGTTTTCCAAGAAAAGATTTTGCCGCACTCCAAGCATTTATATGGCTTTTCACTGGATGGATTCTCTCCTGCATAATCAAATGTGATCTGCAATCTGTGTTCTTCCCACATTAGGAAGTCTATGAGGTTTTTCTAACACTGATATGCTTGGATTCTTGAGGCAGTGAAAAATATTTCTGATCTCTTGCCTGGTGGATGTTTGATTCTAGCCTTGTTTCCTTCCTCAGATGCCTTAATTAATGTCTGCCAATTTTGGCTATACATGGAACCTTTTTCTACCTAAAGACTTCAAATTGTTCCTCACTTTTTCTTTATTTAGATATTATCCTCCTTGATTTCTCATTTAATGTTTTTCTTCAGTTCCATGTGCTCTATTTTTCCAGCTCAAAACTTTGTACTTGTTATTCTTTCCCTAGTCTGTCATCTGCTGAGGAAGAAGAATTTTTAAACTTTCTAGAGGAATTGCAAAATATTTTGAATGATGGTTTATTTTGCATTTTTATGCTGCTTTTCATTCTCTGTTGTCCAGAGAGCTCTTCTTGGCATCCTCTCTCTCTGTAAAATTAATATAAATGGGTTAGTTTCATCATTGCTTAAAAATGGCTGCAGCCTGCAGGACATGTGAAAGCAGAAAAAAAAACTACCCCACCCCATATATTAATATGAAAAAACAAAAAAAACCTAAAAGTCTATTTGAAACTCTAATATTATGATTTATTTGGCATACAGAAGTTTAAGATCCAAGTTCAAATATTGACACAAGATCTCTTTTTAAATCAATCAGTCAAACAGAATAGAATTGAAAGGGACCTTAGAGGCCCTCTAGTCCAGCTCCCTCTTCACTTAATTTTTTGGCTTGGGCAAAAACACTCATGTATGCACGCATGACCTCAGAAACACACACCTATGAATGTATGCAGACAATCTAGGCGTATCTCGGTGTGCAAAATGTCCCAAAGTGAATTCGCTCCAATTCTTTGATCTAAGTTCAAAAAGGGGAGGGGAGGGGTCGCTAACAGAGGAAACGGTGCCCAACTCCTAGTCGAGACACAAGAAATACAAAATAAATGGTCTTTTTAAAAAATCTCCCAGTAGAAAATCTCAGGCAGGAGTTTTAAGTCCTGCAGCCCCGGAGGAATAAAATTCGGGGAGGGGATGAATATGCTGCAGCAGCCCACATGTTTCAGCTTCCCTGCTTCCCCGCCGTGGAGGAACCCAAAGGGCCGGACTTGCTCCCGGCTTCTCCTCCGACCTGCCCTCCACTCACCTCCCAGGAGCCGCTTCGACCCTTCAACTAGGACAAGAAGCTCAGCCGACGCCATTACCCTCCCCTGAGTCAGCCGGAAGAGGAAGTTACTCTGCCCTTCGCTTCCTCCCCTTTACAGCTTCTCTAGCAACGCACTACTCTATCGTTTCAACTCGCAGCCAAGCCTCTCTGCCCTCCTTAGAACAGCTCTATCGCCCTTGCCTGAAACACCATACCTGAAACAAGGGTTCTTTCTCTGTAGCACGCCATCTAGCGACATGAGGCGGAAGAACATGCTTCTTTCGACACTAAGGTGTTCTCATGGATTCCGTGCTTCCTTAAGTGCCATCAAGTCAGAGGTGGAATTCAGCAGGTTCTGACCAGTAGTGAGAATTTTGAGTAGTTCAAAGAACTGACAAATACCACTTCTGACTGGAGATTTTACAGTATCCTTCCCCTGCCATGCCCACCAAGCCACGCCCACAGAACCGGTAGTAAAAAAATTTGAATCCCACCACTGCCATCAAGTCCTATTTGACTCCCATCGAGCTCATCGGTAGCTTTTGTCCTGGAGGATCCATCCGCAAACCTTTTCTTTCAGAGGGCACTCCTTGTCCCTAGAACTGAGCCCGAAGCTTTCTTTGCGAGAAGCGGCAGCTAAATCAAATAAAGCATCCTTTGGGAGACGTGGGGGCCGCAAATGACGTGCAAATAGGAAAAGAGAAAGTGCACCTCCCTTAGTTCCAGCCACTTCTTCCTGGGGGGTGGAACGAGTGTGTAGGATAACTCCTGAGAACCTGCCTCTGCAAAGCAGCAAACGTGTAGCTTGTCTCTTCTGGGATTTTCTTTTCTTTTATTTCCCAATTTAGTTATCAAACCCACTATTTCTTACTGGTGCCTCATCCTTGCTTAGCAATGGATTTCCAGGCCCAATTGGTGTTGCAACCCGAGAACCACCCTCATTTCTTTTCCAGGCTCAAGAGAGGGCTGGGAGAGTAATTCCCCTCCCTTCTGGACAGTTAGCAACCAAGCAGGCTTGATACCTTCAACAGCAGTTTGCTATGCATAATGAAATCGTGAGGTTTTCCTGGCAGAGCAATTCAAGGCATTGCTGCAGATTAAGATCAGTTCATCTGAAGAGGGCAACGAAAGGTTGGCAGCCTGGAATATCAACTCACCCTCTGCTTGCAGCTCTGACTTGCACTGGTGATCAGAGAAAGGGTTGTGCTGGAAGGAAGACACCTGGGCCCTTCTCAGTCTGGCTGGGGCACACCACCAAAATGGCGTTGCAATTCTCATGGACTTTTGGAGGGTTTGAGATAGAAGAAGTACAGTGATTATGTCCCTCCTAGACCTCTCATTAGATTTCAATAACAATGACCATATCCTCCAATGTCCAGGCTTTGGAGACAGGACAGGGAAGGAGCTTTATTATGATCATTCTTCTTCTACCTCTATGCCTGGTTCCAGCCCAGAAAAAGGCCAAATCTTGACTCCTGCAATTTGCAGTGCTTCAGGGCTCAAGCCAATCACTACTGCTGGTTAATGTCTACCTGAAAAAACTAGGAGAAGCCATCCATACTATGACACCCAATTATGTACAGGTAGTCTAACTATCAGCTAACCAGCATGGTGTATCCTATTGGTGCTCCATTCCTTCTTAGCAATTTGAAGTCTAACCCGAATTGCCTATAGAGATTCTCAGTCAGCCAAGTCATGATATCAATGGATTTCCAGAAAAATTAAAGGAAGCATTTTGCTTCAATTTGAAATGCGGACAACAGTCATCTCCAACAGCCTGCAAGGGTCTTGAACAGTGAAGGGACACAGGACAGAAAACATCCTGTGGCCACGAAGGCTCCACATCCATTTGCACGACTCATGTGATCCTGAGGACACAGATCAACCTCCAGGTGGCCCCAAGACCCTCTGAAAGAATGCAAATGACCAGCTGTCTGCAAAGACTAGGAATCCTTCCACCCCCCACCATCCAGTCCGAGCTAAAGAAGCTTCTTGGATGAGAAGTGAAACTTCTTCAAAGAAAAACCAGAAAGTCCAGTTGTCTCCTGATAAAGCAGCTCTTGTCAGGGTCCCAAATAACAAAGCCAATGCAATCAAAACTCTGAGGCCAAGCTGCTCCTCAAAATCCAGATTTATTAGGCAGGTCATATTGGCACATCTGGTGAAAACTTGACTCTGAAGGTCCCGAGGTTTTCCCCACCCAAATTAAAAATCAAATTCTTCTCCCCAGTCCACATGTCCATCAACCAAGTTACAGTCCCAATTCCAGCTGGTTTCAGTCCACGCCTCCCCAGCACCTGGTGAGAATGTCTTTGGTTCCCAGAATGAATTTTATTTTGGCTACAGATCCCCAGGTATCTCTCTTCCCCACTTCCATTGCCACAGCTCAAAACAGCCTTGCTGTGGCAGCCCTGAAGACTTTCCTTCCGGTTGACCTCGCTGCGTGATTGGCACAGGTGAGCGGGGCTCCGCATCCCCACGTCAAATCCTCCTCATTGGAGGGCTCGCCAGGGAGCTAAAGTCACCCTGCAGGGTGATTAATGAGAGGCACCTTTCCCTTTGCGGAGAGCGGCGGCTCTCCTGCTAGACCCAGGCCTTCTTCCCTCTCTACTGAAGATGAAGGTGAGGCAACCAACATGGCCACCATAAAGTGTGCTGGAGCAATGAGAGTGGACAGTGATCAGAACTGGGTGATGTGATCTTTAACTTTTGTCAAAGATTTTCCCACAATAAATTTAATCCATGAAAGTGACTCTTTGGAATACTTTTAAGCAGAGAGTAAAGCAGGATAAAGAAAATTATACCCTAAGGCTACAGAACACAGAAAAACTGGATGTATAAATATTACTGACAGGACTTTGAATAGTTGCTTCAAAGTGCTGGATATTTGACTGTTTAATGGATATCTTGTCTGAACTAATGAGAAAGAAACTTAAACTGGATTTTTAATGTCACTTTTTGAAAGCGGACATTTGATTTTTAAGCTGAAGGCGCCATCTACTGGTGAAAGTGGCCCTGGATAGCTTTTGATAAGGGGAAATAACATCTGGAGGTCTGTTTTGCTTTATTATTTACTGTTCCATACTTATCTACCCTATGATGACTAGAGGCCAACCTTGAAAAACCTGGAGGATATCTACTGGAATGACTTTTGAATACTGGAACTATTGAATAAATGAAAAAGTAGATTTAAAGAACTACTTGGAAAACTCCCTGGATGGTATAAATGAAACTTGTTGACTAATTGTGGAATAGAAAGAATTCTAATTATGGCATCTCCTGATGAACCATATTAAGACCAAGTAATCTGCTGGCTTTGAGAAGTCAAAAACAATACAGCAGTGTTAGATTATTGACAGAACACTGAATACAACTTGGGATTTTTTAAAATAAGGCAAGATGGCTCCTTAGGAAGCACTGGAGGCACAAAAAGAAATTATAAGGCTACTGCAAAATATTTATGATACGATGATGGTGAATATTAAAGAGAAAGGACTTGTTGCACGATATAACTGGAAAGACTGAAAATGTGCAACAAGGACCAATGAAGCAAGTGTCAGCTTTGGAATCCTTATTAAAAGCTGCCACACAGCTGCGGAGGATGGAAGCGGGGGTGTGTGTGTGATGTTGTTTGATTAGCTTTCAGTCGACAAAATAGATATATAAAACCTTCAAGGTCATTCTCTATGGCCCAGCAAGAATTGTAGCTGAAGGGTGATTGGTTCACGTGATTTATGATGTGAAAGAAAGGGGTGGGTATAGGTTGAGTCTTGTGGGAAGTCTGGGAGGAAACTTTAGTTTCGGAATTCCATAGACGTACCAAGTTTCTGTTTTAGTAAAGCACTTTGAGATTATGTTGTCTCAGAGTTAATGATGGAACGGATAATTTCTGGAACCCTGACAGCAAGATAATAAAACCCAGGAAACAAGGGAGACAAACTCAAGAGGATGAGACAGAACAGAAGACACAGCAAACAGAACAAGATTATAAAGTTGGAGTAGGAGATTATAAAGTTGGGTGAAATAAAGTTGGGAGAATATATACAAGGAGACAGAAAAATGGAATTGAATATACCGAAAGATACCTTCGGAAAAAAGATAAGAGGATTTGGCAGGCCTATGGGTGGACTGGCAGCAAAAAATATTGTGGACAGAAATAAAGCTTTGGTTGAATATGTAAGATATAAAGACCCAAGGGAGGAGTATGGGAGGCAAGCTAAAAAGAGAAGAAATGTAACTTCCAAGAGAATGAGAGACGATGCATAGGAAGGATTTTTTTGTTTTAATGAGATCAGCCTAAAACTAGAATAAACTGTAGAAATAAGGGGAATATTGTCAGAGCGTTTGCAGCATGATTACCATTACGAGACAACTCGGGAGCAAAACACAGCATACAGAGACATAAACATTTAACAGTGGTGGTTTATCTACAGTTATGTATAGAAATATACGTGGTAGGCAAAATACTTTTACAAGTAAGCAAACTTCTTAACTCTGCTCGGAGAACTTTTGGAAATGAATACAGGACACAAAGAGAAAGAACCACACCCTCTAATGGTTGCAATATATAAACGCCTCTTAAAGGGATCTTTAATCCTGTCTTAAAGGGAAATTCCTATGCTATGCTGATTCATTCTTATTGCATCATCCTATATTGCATCAGCTTCACTGCTGGTTGGTTCTTAAATCCCAAGAACTTAACAAATATACATTTGTTATCTAACACAATATTTCAAATGAATATCAGAAATTGAAACTAAGAGTTTGAAAAAGGATGTTATTTGGTATGTTCAAAAACAATGTTATTACTATTAGGAGGTAGCAAATATTGAATAATGGAAAAATGAAGAATTATGACTTGACATAGTTATGTATAACATTAGATTAATGTAGCAATCTTTAAGATTGGCTGCATTAAAAATTAGGATATAAAATTTAGAAATGAGGAAATATTGTTGTACATACTTTTATTTGAATATATGTAAAGTGAATATTAAGGTTAGGATCAGAATTTGAAAAAGGACGTTACTCGGTATGCTCAAAAAGAATAGTTATTACTATTAAAAGAATGTAGC